AGAAAGAACAGTAAGATATATAATCCGGTGTTCTTATAGATATTTTTATTTTTACAAAATAGTGCTCAATGTAAATTTACAGAGCATTAATATTATATATTTTTTTCCGCTACACAGTTCTAACCATGTTTCAAAAATGGAAGTTAAAGCCACGAATTTAATTTTGCAATTAAATTAAAGATATTAGTTCCATTTCATCCTCAAGCCAATTTATATATATATATATATATATATATATATATATATATATATATATATATATATATATATATATATATATATATATGAAAAAACAGACCACTTTAAGGTACCATTACAATAATTTATTTCACTAAAATCCTTTTAAAGGATTTCGGATCATCAGATAACACTTCCAACAATGAAATGAGAGGAAAAATGGGATTAGAAATTGATGGGTAGTGTAATTTTTGTAATTAAACAGGGAGGGTGAAAGTGGCGGTTAAAGAGACAATACAGAGTATAGGGAGGGTTAAATTTATATCTCTCTTAAATAAGCTTTATATTGGGGTAGGAGGAGTGACATATATATATATATATATATATATATATATATATATATATATATATATATACCCGACGTGATTAAGTCAGTTTCGGCTACGAAGTGCATCGATGATCAAACAAAGTTGCATAACGCTTTATAAGCACAAGTGTTTCCCAGATTCATGTTACATTCCTATCTGCAGTATTCATTTTGTTTCACTATCGACGCACTTTGTGGCCGGGCCGGTCTAAAGCACTTTGTATCTAACGACGGTTTTCCGTGCCAAGATGAGGGACGCAGGTTCGAATCCTGTCGAAGAGGGCATATTTTTTCCTTTAATAAGATTTCTCGAATATTCGTGACGGTAAACGAAAATAAATTAACACGGTGTTTAATAAAATACACGCAGCGTCTACTCAAATAAAAATAACGTTTACCTAGTACAGTCTGTTGGATCAATAAATGAAAAATCCATCCGTTCTTTAGAAATTGCTTTGTTTACGTTGAGATACAAAACTGAGCAGATATGAATGTTTCGAGAGCCTGGAAATGATTCGCGTTTATAAGCCACAATTCTGCTTTACTTGATCACACATACACAATGTACAATATGCATATATATATATATATATATATATATATATATTCTATATATATTTTATATATGTATATAAATTCTTCTCTATATATTTACATATATGCGTTGCTTATTGTGTACGTGTGCGTGCTCGAACATACAGATACATGATTGCGCCTGGTCCTGCATTGTTTATATATGTATATGTATGTGTTTGTGCGAAGCAAAAAGCCTACACCTGTATGTGTGTATGTCTCCATGCGTATGAGCGTCATCCCAAAACGGACACAGAGGAGAATCTCCCCATCCACACGAAACATTAAACAAATAGTCTCAAATTTAAAAAAATAAATCAACTAAATATATATATATATATATATATATATATATATATATATATATATATATATATATACAATACGCACACACAGACACATACACATATATACAATGCTTGCGCCTATCAAAGTCTTGCTCGTTCACCGTCACAGCTTTAAAATGTTCTACTGCCATTATAGGCATCTGCTATTTCAAATTTGGCTTCTAATCCTGCGTAGATTTGGCTGCAGCAAAACACCTCCATAGCTTGAAGCCTAATAGGTTCTACGGAGTCAAGTTTAGGGTGCCTTGCTGTTAAGTCGGATGATATTTGCTCCCATCCCATCTCCCGATTAGTGTGCCATGCTGCCGGATGATGTTTATCGTCTTATATATATATATATATATATATATATATATATATATATATATATATATATATATATATATATATATATTTGTGTGTGTGTGTACATTATGGTTTCGCCTATCAAAGTCTTGCTAGTTCATCGTCACAGCCTTAAAAAACGTTTTACTCTCATTATAATCAACTGCGATCTAAGCCTTGGCTTCTTATCTTGTGTAGATTTGGCTACTTTTGTTTAGCGGCATATCAACACCTCTATGGGTTATTTAATGTCGAAATCTAAATATTTTGATCTATTTTGTTGGCTGATTTTGCTTTGCAGCATATCAACACGTCTGTGGGTTATTTAATGTCGAAATCTAAATATTTTGATCTATTTTGTTAATTTTGCTTGGCGGTATTCAACGTCTCTATGGGTTATTTTGTAAATAAAATTTATAATTTTGTGAGCTTCAAAAAGTATTTTTGTTTATAATTATATACTTTATATAAATATGTTTTTTAGATATATATATATATATATATATTGCTTGGCGAACTGACAGTAGCATGGGAAGAAGGGATTGAAGAGGTGCATGAAAGAAAGTTGCTTTGGTATGAGGAACTGGTGGCTGAAGTCCGTGAGAGAGGATATGGCTGCACCCTGGTGCCATTTGAGGTTGGCTGTAAAGGATTTCCTGCTGCCTCTCTAAAGAGATTCCTCAAGTCTACTGGGACCCAAAAGCCGGATAAGATGATAAAGGCTTGTGGTAAAAAAGCGGTCGAAGGCAGTGTATGGATTACCCAAAAATTCTTATCAAGTCGCATCCAATTAACATAGACCGGTTGCAACGTAACATCAGCCAGCTGTTGTGGGCCCACCGTGTGGAGAGGTACTGAGCTTAATGGGCCAAAACTTTGATGAAGCATTTATGCTCAACTGAAGACCGCAGCTGGTCTGGAGCACTTGATGTGTACTTGTGTTCTATATATATATATATATATATATATATATATATATATATATACTTTATAGATCATAAAATGCATTGTTGGTAATTTTACTATAAAAAATATTTTTTATATTTTTTTAATTTGCATTGATAATCATTTTGCTGTAAAATCTATTGTTGATCATTTTATAATAAAAATGTACTGTTGATTTTTGTTTAGGCAATCTCCATGTTGCCAGAGTTAATACCCCGAGTCAAGGTGGACCTGGGAGCAACTGCAGTTAAGAGGTCGCTCCACGCACCTCAAATCATCCACTTCCAGTCAGAGTAGCTTGCTGTCGGATGAAGTTTATAGTCTTCCCCAGGACTATCTTACGTAGATGGTTATTTTACCTATTATATATATATATATATATATATATATATATATATATATATATATATAGGCAAAATGAAATGAGAACAAATGGAGTATAATTCCACCGTAAGTAACATTTAATTTAAAAGAGGGCTCAGTACAGAGTAGATCTAATTATTATTTAATTTAGGATCTTAAAACATGTTAAAAATCGCAATATAATGGCAATTATGTTGCAACACTACAAATGTGCCTCCTCGGGCGATACTAAACTACTGGTGAGTGAAAGATTAATTTAATTTCAAAAGCAGAATACTTGAAAAAATAGGCTTGTGGGCTTTATCGTGATTAACCAATCGAATGTAACCTACGCTAAACTCAAATTTACTGGAAAAAATTTTAATATAAATCATGAGACGATGTTGTCTGCATATAAATCCTAGACAACTTGCTTATGGGCAGGAGGTTACATTATTTTGTAAGATGTATCGAAGTCTGACGTTCAACTTTCCTAAGAAGTAGAAACGAAAGAGGTGGGGAGGTTATTTAACACAAGTTATATGCTCGTTCAGCTTCTTACAAAAAATATTGTAGTTGATAAATAAAAGGCCCCTTTAAGAAATTGGTAAATAACTTAACCGCTGCTCGGAAAAAAAACCCGGATCAACAGCGACCGAGGGGACACATTTGTAGTGTTGAAGCATAATTGCCATTATGTAGCGATTTTTAACATGTTTTAATATCCTAAAATAAATAAACAATATATATATATATATATATATATATATATATATATATATATATACAGGGTGTCCATAAAGTTCGTATGCACTTTAAAAAATTTATAACTTCATTTGTATTTTGCGATAGAAATAATTTGTAAAAAGGATTAGAAAGGAGTAAATTTATATTTTTTGATGTTTTATTGAAATTTTATTTCAGTTTCTACATGTCCTCCATCATTAAAATACGATTTTGCAGTTCACGTAAAACATTTGCCAACTGATTTACAGTAATGCCTGAAATCACATTAGTTATTTTAGCTATACTTAAAACTAGGTACATTAAACTTCATAACATTTTTTACAGATTATTTCTATCGCAAATACAAATAAAATTATAAATTTTTTAAAAGTGCACACGAACTTTATGGACACTCTGTATATATATGCGTGCCTTTTTTTCTTAGTAGTTGTTTTATTAAAGCTGCCATTAAGAAGTATTCCCTTTCATGTGGTGTTTAAGTTTACAAGCGTCAAATTCCATGCCTTTTTTTGGGCGCTGAACAATCACTAGATAAAGGTCCGTTCCACATACAAAAGAACACTTGGATGGAACTAACTGCAAAACGAAATCCTCTTAGGAATCGAAGATTCTTCAAAGACAATCAGAAAATAAGAATCGATTATTCTCTCGTCTTGTCCATCATTCGAGCTTTTGCATTCATTTCTCTTCGTTTTGTTTTGTTTTTTTTTTGTTTTTTTTCGGTGTGAGGAGGCTTTTTGAGTTTTTCTTTTTTTGTTTCTCTGTTGTCATTTCATTGTCTTGATTTGTTTCTTGTCATCAATTCTCGATTTCATTTGGCCTTTTTATTTATTTTTTTTTATAATAGATTAGCGCTTTCTTCAAATATTTCATTCTTTCTTCTTTAAAATTCTTTCATTCTTTCCCGATTTCCTTCTGTCGGTTTGTATTTTCTTTCTTCTTTTAATTTTCAAGTGTTCTTTTTTCAACTTCATTTATTTCTTCCCCTGTTTTCTTTCTTGATTTCTTTTCAGTCCTAAGAATTTGTTTAATCTTCTATTCTCACTATTTAATTCTTCAACATTTACTTTTCTTTATTTGCTTATTTAATTCCAATATTTTATACAATCTCTTCTCCCTTCTGTTCTTCCTCGCTTTGTTTCTCTCTTTCTTTCTGTCATTTTCATCCTTCATTCTCTCTCGTTTTCCTCTCTTAATTCTTTGTTCATCGTTCTTTTTCTTTCTTTCTTTCTTTCTTTCTTTCTTTCTTTCTTTCTTTTCTTTCCGTTATTTTCCTCCTTTTTTTCCCTCGTTAATCTTTTTAACTCTTTCTTCATCTTTTTTTTTCTTTCTATCTTTCTTTGTTTTCTCGTATTCTATACAATCTCTTCTTCGTTCCTTTCATTCTTTTTTCTTTTTTTCTGTCATCTTCCTCCTTCATTCTCCCATGTTTTCCTTTTTGAAGCTTTGTTAATCTTTCTTTTTCTTTCTTTCTTTCTTTCTTCCTTTCTTAATTCCTTTCTTTCTTTCTTTTTATATAAAATTTTTCTTTTTTCTATTATTCTATACAATCTGTCCTTCCTTCCTTCCTTCCTTCCTTCCTTCCTTCCTTCCTTCCTTCCTTCCTTCCTTAAATACCTCCCTCCCTACCTCCCTTCCTTCCTCCTTTCCTCTGTCCCTTCCTTTCTTTCATCATTTCCCGCCTCATTCTTCCTAACTTTTTAATCTTTTGATCATCTTTCTTTTTTCTTTCTTTCTTTTTTTCTTTTTTTCTAATATTCTATACATTCCTTCCTTCCTTCCTTCCTTCCTTCCTTCCTTCCTTCCTTCCTTCCTTCCTTCCTTCCTTCCTTCCTTTATCTATATTTCATTCTTTCTTTCTTCATTTTGTCTATCTATCTATCTATTTTTTTTCTTTCTTTCTTTTTAATGTTCAATACAATTTTTTAATAATCTTTTTCATTCTTTTATCTTCATATTTCTGGATTTCTTTGTTGTTTTTCTAGCTCGGTTTCTTATTCAAAAACATATGATTGCTTTTAATTCAATTTCTCTTTCTTGGAAATTTTCTGGTAGTTCCATTTCTTTTTGGTTTTCTTGCTCCATTTCCATTTTCAAAGAAAAATTCTACCCACCAGCTGACCTGGATTTCACAGAGCCAAAAACGAGGACACTTACTTTTTCAATAGGGAGTCACCCAATTTCTCATTTTCTATCAACTGAGAACAATCAAGAGGTGAATCAAGAATTTCTATCTATCTATCTATCTATCTATCTATCTATCTATCTATCTGTCTGTCTGTCTGACTGTTTGTCTGTCTGTCTGTCTGACTGTCTGTCTGTCTATCTGTCTATCTTTTTCAGTTTGTTCTTTATCTTTGTCATCAACCTTTTCAACATATATTTATCCCTGTTTCATTATCTATCTATCTATCTATCTATCTATCTATCTGTCTGTCTATCTGTCTGTCTATCTGTCTATCTGTCTGACTGTCTGTCTGTCTCTCTATCTATCTATCTATCTATCTTTTTCAGTTTGTTCTTTATCTTTCTGTCATCAACCTTTTCAACATATATTTATCCCTGTTTCATTATCTATCTATCTATCTATCTATCTATCTATCTATCTATCTATCTATCTATCTGCCTGTCTATCTGAGTGTCTGTCTGTCTGTCTATCTATCTATCTATGTGTTGTAGTTTTCTTTTTAAAGTACTAGTCCTGATGCTTTTTTATTAAACCTCGTACATTAAAAAAAGATAACTTTTATAATCTGAAACATTTGGCTGTGACGAATGTACCTGGTATAACCCTTGCCAGAATGGGGGGGGGGTCATGATGGGTATATCGGGCTACATATATTTGTACCTCAGTATCACTTAGTTGGGGTCTTGCTCTCTCAATGAATCGATCAATAATAATAATAATAATCTGGTTTCAAGTGCGAGAGTAGTCAGTGAGCAGACCCCGAATTCTTTCCCCTCTTTGATGAACGGTTGTACTTTCAATGAGGTTCCTTGCCTTGTACGTCTTGCTGACTCCAACTCACTCCAGATCTCACCTGGAACTCGTCTATACGACCCCATCGCTAAAGATGCTGGAAAAATGATCGGTTCTTTGTACCACTCTAGAAGGGACCTGATTCTTCCAGTCATGTTTATTTTTTACTCGAGTCAGAGCATACCGAAAATGGAGTATATCTTCGCAATACTCAGTTTCCAGCTTTGACAGCCGTTCAAACGTCTTTACACGGCCTTGCAACCCCTTTACCCACAGACGAAACGTTGCTCGCCTCTCGCTACCACAATGCTATTTTCATGGCAAATATTCAGACGAGGTACATTCATACTTTGAGCTGCCATGTGGTCGACTCAGCCTCATTGCCTTTGTATTCCACTGATAAGGTGAAAGTGCCACTCAGTGCCTCATCACTATGATCTTAAACTCTTTAAGTCTAGGCTTAACCATTATCTATCCTACATATCCTTATAATGAGCACTATTTACTTCATTCTGTCAAGCCTTTATAGCAACCTAATTCAGTAATCCTCTAACTCCAGTGGCTTTTGGGCCTTGTATGGCGTGAACCGTAATATAAAAAATAATTTCTTTCCACATTCCGAATTCTGCAAGTAGATTCAACGGTTTTTAATTTCCATTTTGAATAAGTCTTTTATAATTACTAAGCTCTCAATAATACTTCTATACGCCATTATCTATATATATAATTGTTGTTCATGATGACGGTCGTCTTTGAGTATAGAATCCAGAAGGTAGCAGTGAATATTTCGAAGACAGTAGGGAAGCGTTGTTCAGGTTAGCAGTGGATATTTTGGTAAAAGTAGCAGACTAGTTCTTACTTCTGTTCCTCTTCGCCTGACAAGCTGGCACTGGACATTCGGATAGAGTAAACAAAATGGCCGCCTTTATACACAACGGATTGAATATTTTACGTCTTCTGATTGGTTAACCTTCTATTGGTGGACTATAAAATGATTCAAGTCATTTGGGCTAGCTCAGTAGTACATATACACAAAAAAACTGCAACATATACAACAGAAGATGTCTGTGTGTTTGTCTGAGTGTCTTCTATTTATGCACATCCTCATTTATGGACCAATTTCAATGAAATTGTACGCACAAGTTGCAAATTTACCAAATTAGGCCGAGATCAAATTTTTAGGGTGTTGAAACTTGACTAATGCATGGAATAATAATGCAACACAAAATGTACTTAGAACAAAATGTATTGAAACAAGAAAGTGTACACAATATTTACATATAGTCTTTTGTATATTCCTGGTAAGACCGTTCCTGGAGAATGTGTTGACTGAGTCGCAGTCGGGCAGAGTCTCTGGTTGAATCTCTTGATTCCTCCCTCTCTTCCCGGTACCAACCATATTTATATGGTCGGTACTCCACTATGCAAATTAGGTGGATCCTACCACAACATAGGGTTTAGCAGAAAAATCGATAAAACTGAAGGTGGGTACAATTTTTTTTAATTTTTTTTCAAAACCAAGGTAAAGTTACACGCAAACAAAATTTTTACTGTATGAGCTGATGTTCTTTGCGCTTAATGCAAAACATAGCTCATACTTTATGCAGAGTACTTGATAATTTTCCTTCGACATGTGAAAGAATCGGTTTTTTAAAAAAAAAAAAAACTTAAATAATTTCCGCAATTTTTATCCGATTTTCATCAAACATGTCGCAAAAATTTGCCATCATAAAAAAATAAGATATTGTGCTTTTAGGCCTGCTCGCTTCCCCGCGTATAACAAAAAAAAATACGAAAAGCCCGTTTTTCGGCCATAACTCTCTGGTTTTTCATCCGATGCTTTCCAAATTTGCCATGTAAATTACATATGACACACATGGTTTGGTTTAGATTATTTCAGTTAAGTGGATGAAATCTGCGGCAAACTAGGTCTAAAATAGGCTTTTGCCATTTAGTCAATAGTTTCTTCATATGATTCCACCTAAATTGGCATTCCAACAACCTTTGATGCAAAGATTGTTTGAGAAGGATTATTGAAGCGTTAAAGGGAAAAAATTCCCAAAGAACCGCTTATTAACCCCTAGATTTTCATTAAACGTGCGAAGAAGTAGGGGGCGTTCATGCGTTTGTACTTGCAGGTGAGTGAAACTCTCACGCTTCATCCCTGTTTTTGTTTGATTGTTAGATTTGTGGACAATGCCATATTATATGAAAGTTATTACGGCCATAGGAAATTTACTGAATATCTAAAACATTGAAACAATTTAACCTCGAGCAACGACCACATAATAAGGTTTTATCGATGGAATTCCTTTATTAAGAACAATCAAACACTTGCGACGGTCATACCGTAAAAAAGATGAGTGGGGAGTAGCGTAGTATACCAACGGATGATACATGCAAGCAGGGACGAAGACAGACATTTCTAAGACATGGGGTGCGGGTATACAGGGGGTGTTTATACTATTGCAGCCATGTACACTGCGGCAATACCGGGTACTTCGGCTAGCAATAGCTAAAGAAAAGGACACAGCTTAATAGTATTGATGCCAGTAATGTTAGTATCTGTCTATATTTCTGAAATGAGGTATTATGTACATTATTTACATTATTCGGACTATTGTCCTCATCTTTGTCGCTATATTTATTACAACGTTTCGGGCGTTGTACGCTCCGGCCTTCTTCAGGTGGTTGGAATGTCGAACTGAACCCTTTATTTCGCTCATTGGGGTAGACTGTTCTAGTTCTACGTGCCATGTTTCATGGATGTTAGTTATCAGTTATCTCCTGTTAATTTCCATCTGAAAGTTCTCCACTGCCATAACCGGGTATTGAACTCACACTCTTTGGGTCCTGTCACTGAATCTAACCGACGCCTTTATCCACTGTGCCATGTTACCTCGACTTTAGTCAATTTCCCCTTCGCCATGACGTGGCTTCCCTGTATCATATCCATAAATATTTTCATGGCACTTGTCCTAATGATCTCTCCTTCCTGGTACCTCGATTGCGCGAATTTAATCATACTAAATTGGCATGTATTTTTTAATCTTCTTTACTATTGAAATAGATGTATTATAATAATTAATTTCTACTCTCATATTTTCTTTTCTCGCACTTCTCGCCTGTGGAATTCTCTTACAATCTCTTGCTTCCCTGCCAGCACCAATCTTCAAAAATTTAAATAGAATGTCAGTCGCCATTTTCTGTCTTCCTGAATTCTATTCCTTTCTTGTTTTTCTCCTCACTAAAGACTTCTCATTCTCTTCACCACCCAGTAAAACCCATGCGTCTTAGTGGCTTTCTCTCCTTGCTTAAGGTGAAATGATTAAAAAAAACATCTAGATTTTTTAGACCAACCTCAGTCAGAGACTCTCTAAGAGAACTAGGTTACCCGACCAGAGGATATTTCTAACTGCAAGGTGATGTTTTGGTTTTAGGAAAATTTCACCATATCACGCATGTTTGTCTGTGGTGCATCTGCCTGATATAGCCTTACCAGATTGGTTATAATGATGGATATTTGGGCTTTGTATATTTGTACCCTAGCATCACTTTTTTGACGTGCTGCTCAATAATAATAATAATAATAATAATAATAATAATAATAATAATAACCTTTCCAAATAATATTATGGAGGGTATTTATGAAGGCTTGTGAAACCGAATGGTTTTATCTATTCTGTTGCAATTCTTTTTTATTTCATTAATTTCAGCCTCTGTCAATCATTTCGGACTTCAATGGCTAGTTTGTTTTTGTCTATGTACTTTCTAATTGTTTAACTAGAATCTGAGGTTTTAACTTCAAACACACATGCTGAAAAATTGCGTTAACTAGCTGGAAAATGCAGATTATGGTAATAAATAACCAGAAACAATTGACCATCTTGAAGGACGGGCTCCCTGTTTATCCACTGAGTTGCCATACTGGACGTTTTGTTTCTATTTTTAATTTCATATTAATCCCACGAGTGACACGGGTCCAAAAGTCCACCCAAAGTTGCCCGGCACGTTGAAAACTTTTACAGACAGGGTTAAGGGGATATAAAACTCTGCATGAGTTGCGGGTTGTTGTTCGGGCCTCTAAATGCCAAGCAACAATAGACAGAGACACGATTGGAAATCAAAGAGAATGACGCTGGTTAAAAAAAAAAAAAAAAAAAGTTTACATTCGTTTGTCTTTGCTGTGAAATTTAAAAAATAATTTTTGGCCCGGGAAAGGAAATGTAATATGTAAATGTAAATTCCGTTAGAAGTCGTTGAAAATAGCGTTGGCATGAAACGTAGAAATCACCCAGTAACCCTGTTAGGGGTGATGGAAAAATTAAAAATTGATTAATCTATCAGTATTATGAGAACTAAATTAAATAATACAATACAAAAAATCAATAAAATAGAAAAATCAAAATTTAATCGTTAAAAAAAAAAAAAAAGCTTGGAAGAAAGCCGCTCATCGTGATGAAAGACTACAAAAATTTTAATTTAAGAACGTGTAACAAAAAATAATTTTCTTATTGGCATTGGCCCAGTTCCTGTTGAAAATAGCTGTTGAAAAAAATTCCTTCTAAGAAAGAATATCGTAGAAATTGTATTGTTTTACCTGTCATGTTTTTTTTTTTTTTTTTTTTTTTGTTTTTGAATTGAAAACTGAGGGATAT